TCTAACTCGCGTCTATAGTCCTCTTTCTTTTCAGGGTTTAAGAATGTGAACATGGGGATTGCGTGAATTTGGTCTTGCAAGGTAATCAAGCAGGCCACTCAACGTAAGCGAAACACCCAATATTCAAATGAGAATTACACCAATATCAAGAATATCCAACTTCTTCAACCTTATCGGTCACTCAGATTGGTAGCCTGTACATCAAACTTCTCCTGAAGCTAGCAAGTTCTGAATCATCATTTTGAGTTAGGGCTACTCCCCTGTCCGCCGGCTTACCCCGTTTACAACTTAACCTTTGTGACGTTGCAATGCAGTCGGATAGTAACAACTGGCCACACTGACTAATCAAATTAACAATGAAACCAAAATTAATAAGAAAGAAGACACAAAACAAAGTAAAAGATTGTTTTGCAGTGGTCAGCGTCTTATCTAAAGGCTTAGTCAAGATAGCTATAAAGAAGCACATCATTGACTCTTAGCGGCGATATCCATCACAAGTTGAAAACCAGACAGGAGATGATAAAACAGATGATCGTCGCTAATGGCGGGTCAACCGGTAAGCGAGACTGCCTTTGAGGAACAAGATTACGCGCCCAAATCTCTCAGACTTATCCCACTTGCCTGGTTACCAGTACACCCGCGCTCCTGCTCATACCCCTTTTTATGTCTATCCCCTCACGACTCCCTCTACAACTGACCCGTGGCCCAACAGACCACACAAGCACTAATCAGCGCAGATATTTGAGCCTCCCTCGCCCGTAAACAGGGCTTCACGGCAGCCAGTGCAGCGTAAGCAAGAGAGGTCTGCCTCTGCAACACCACTCAGTTCATCCTCTCACAAGATTTTTGCAGGTAAGCGTGTAACCGAACTGCAATAGAGACGAGAGAAGAACAACAGAACCACCACCTAAAACGTGGAGAGACATTTGTCATGTCACTTTGACGGGAATGATAGCACGACGTCCAACATACCGCACGCTCCAACCTCTCCTCCCCACCGCTTACTTGCTAGTGTGTATTCCCCACACGCCCCTTTTTCCCCTGGTTAAATCAGTATAAGAGACGTGTTGCAGCTTGACAGACGCGGGAAACGTTCGTCTCCCCATACCGAGCGCAGTGACTGTGGTTGGCAACCACCTTTTCTTTGCAAGTTGGTGAGTCCTACTCATACGTGCGCCATCAGATGACCTCCCTCTTGTTCTGCTCCGGGAAACGTTCGTCTCCCACATGCGTATGTATGCGCCTGCCACCCTGACTCTTCGCGCACAGAAGTCAGATTGATGTCAACCCTTTTTGCAAATACATCCCGCTCTCGTCTCACTCTCTCTCCATTTCTCAGAATGGCCACTTGTTGCCCTCTGGCTTTTCTGCGTGCCGCCCGTGCGCGCGCATAACTACCTCTCAATTGGATTACCGCGCTCACTCACGCTGACCCGCCCACATGTCCGCTCTCTGTAGTTTGTGACGTCAACATCTCAGTACCCGCGTTCGATTTTCTCCCCTTCGTTGTTGACCTTTTTGCCACGCGTGTCGACCGACCACCTCACCCCCGTTTCTTTCCTTTGCTTTGTTTTTCTCCTGCCTCGCGGCCTCTGGGCGTCAGCTGTCGCGAGCTGGCCTCAGGTCCCTCTTCCACCGGCTTCGCTACCCGGTGATGCCTCTGGATCTCGCCTGGTCTCATCGAGGACCTGAGGTCGGTCTGCCGGTCCTCCGCCTCGCTCATCTCACTCTCCCCAACTGAGTCTCGTTCCAGGTGGGCCTGTTCCCAGTACGCCGTGTCCATCGAGGTCTCGGTCTCATGATACGAGACCGTCATTTGCATTTTCGCCATCACCCCATCTCTTTTGTAGCGCCTCTCCACACGGTCTTTAGTCTGCGTGATAGCGTCCTACAGCCTTCCATTAGTCCGCATCTCCTCCTCTTTTCCTCCCTCCACACTGATCCTCAATCTCAGCTCGCCACTCCCATCATAATTGAGAATAGCCGTGATCTTGGGCCCCTCCCCAGACATAGGCTTCCATCGAATCTGGTGGTACCAATAGCTGGGTCTATACCCATGCAACGCCATAGCCACCCAGAGATAGCCGCGCCGACTATAGCCAACGCTCAGAACGTTACTTGCCCGTACCGCACTAGAGGCATAGGACTGAACAGGACTCAAACCGCTTGGAGAATACAGCCTCGGTGTTTTCCCCTCTATTAGCAACACGTCTGCCTTACACGCTCACTCAAAAACCCAGGAGCAACCTCCCTTTTATAACACCCGGTGAGGTTGTGACCCCTGTGTTTTAAACGAGAGTCTCTAGTATCTCTTTTTAAACTTCTGCACTCTGGTTTACTATAACTTCTATACTAACTAATTTAAAGGAAAATAGTCTTCACAAAAGGAAAATGAAAAGCAAGGCGCCAACAGTCAAATCTCATTACCACAGGCTGGACACAGTAATCCGATAATGTAATATCGACGGAGCCCCTTTTCGCTTCAAAAGCAGACCACCGACCTACTCCTACCGGGTGCCCGTATCCGATGGTAAGGAGGGGGACTATGACCCTCCATAGGGGGGTGATAAGTCCCCTACCGATGCGGCCGCGGGTCGCCCTTCTTTTGAGACCCGACCACGCAGCACTAAGTCGGCACATATTCTCAGACGGAATAAGAGGGGTCGGCCAATTCGGGCCATTGTTCAAAATTCAAACCATTGGCTTCCCCGCGATGTGACAAGGAAGGTAAAGGAGGGCCGCACCTGAAAACCGGTAAAGTAATAATAACAAAATTAATAATAATAACAATAATAATAAAAATCGCAGAAAAGAAAAGATGACAGTCCAAATTCCCTCCGCGAGGCAACCTCTCCTGGATAGTGGCACGGTTCCACGCACAAGTCCAAAACCCGATTTTCATCCTTATCCCTTCCTTTTTCTCTTTTAGTATATATTTTTTTTCTTTTTTCTTTTAGTCCTCACTGTATCTGCCTCTTAACCTGGCCATCGAGGACCCACCGCGAGGTTCGGACGAACAGGTCTGATACAGGCGATATATAAGGGGTAGGTAGAGCCCCAGACCATAAGACCGCAGTTGAAGTTCGAAAACCCGAATCGACGGCCTTCCCTGCGAAGTGACTGATCGATAGGCAGGAAACTAAAAAATAGAAAAATTAAGTAGTAACATTAATAATAATAAAATGATGACAATCAGCAAGCAAAAATGGAAAGGGAACTGTAATATCACAGTGGCCTCAAGCCACTGAATTTTCCCCAAACCATAGTGAGTTCAAGTTCGGCGCTTTGTCTCCGCTCTTCGTCCCAGGGCGAACCCGGCGGCTACCACGGTCACAGACCGGTTGTGCTCTACTGTACAGCAGGGCGCCGAGCCTGCGTGGACCAATGGAAGCCCTGTGGCGCACCGCTTTTGATGAGGGCTACGCCACCGGGACTGGTCCACATCATACTATAGCCCAGGTACCAAGCGTCACAGTGTTTCGGGAGTAGCTACAGAACGCAGCACTAAACTAAGGGTGGTACCAAGTAGGGACTTGGTACACAGAGGAGGGTCGGGACACCCCGCCCTCCGACATAATACCAAACCCCCAGCCAGCGTCCCCGTTGGGTCGGAGCGAGAAGTTTCGATATAAAAATAGTGCAACCCAATATGCTCTCGGTCATTCCCATTGTGGCTTGAAGCAATTTCCGCATTACCGTTCCTTTTGCGCTAGCTGATTCTTCACCTTTCTCATAGCACTCGTACTTCTCTGAACACACCTTCCTTCTTCGCACTCACCTTCCTTCTCCGCATCCGCCTCTCTCCCAAGTGTTCGCCCTCACTCTCCGCGCTAGCAACCCCCCTTTGCGCTAGGTTTTTTTCTCTCTGTGTCAGGCTTCTTCTCCCTGTACTTGCTTTTCTTTTAGCGCTCACCTTCTTTCTCCCGTAGCATACCGCAATCTCCCGTAGTCAGCGATCGTTTTCCTTTTACTTCTTTTGATAATCTCCCACTCTCGCTTTCAGGATCCATCTCATCATCGCAGATTTCACTCACACAACTTTCCCAGTCCTAGCCCTTAGACACCTTACGTGCATCATGCCTGAGGCACGTCGCGGACAGGGCAGGGGAAGAGGAGGAAGAGGCGGAAAAGCAAAAGAAGAACCGCCAGATAGGGCTCGACGGGATTATAGCTCAGAGGAGGAGGAAGAGGAAGAGCCATGAGCCTGTGGCCGCTTAAGGCTGTACCCTTGCTACCCGTTAGGAGGGTGGTATGAGAGAACTCCATCCCCTGACAGGATGGAGTTACTTCGCAAAAAGTTTGACGCGCGCTATGGTACTCCCAGCGCTTCTTCACCTCCTTACATCCCTAGGGCTCCTTCCACTCCAGCAATAAGCAAGGCCATAGTGCCAGTTCAACCTCCTTCTGCCCCATGCGCCGTCTCATCACTCCATCATCCCAGTCACTACATTCTCTTCAGCATCTTCTTTCTCCTCTTTCTCTTTCAACTCGAGCTCATGGCTGTCTTTTACGTCTTATATAAGCGTGACTTCTTTTCAGTCTTTTGAATCTGATTTCTGGCTCATAAAGTTCTCAATCCAGTCCATTTCATAGCGTCCCAGGCCTGAGAGTTTGGCTTCCTTAAGGCCAGGGATGTAGGTTCCTCATGAACCAGGCCGCTTGTCGGCCACCAAAATAAAATTTTAAGAAGGATTTTGTCTGAGCGTTTGACTTGTTCGAATGCTGATCCTTTCACATGGAGGTTACCTCAGCTCTTAATCAGGCATCTATGCCGAGGATGACCCTAGTAACGAGGGTACTCACTCTATCTGCTATGCTGGGAGTAGGGTATACCAAACCCTCTTTTCTGTTGTCTGGTCTGAGAGACATCTTCTCAACTTCTCACTTGATGGAGATACCAAACCCTTGTTTTCTTCCTCTGGCCTGAGTGAGGCGTCTCCTCAACTTCTCAGACAAAAGGGAGGGGATACCAAACCCTTTTTCTTTTTCCTGGCCTGGGGAACTTCAGATGAGTATTTGTATACCTGCAAAACCAGCAAGTCTCACATACAACAACCATGCCCCAGCAAGCAGACCCTCTGACAACCAGCAGTTAAGCATCAATAAATTAAAATAAAACCCATAAATAAAATAATAAATTATAAATAATAATTAATACATAACAACTCTTCATACCCAGGATTTATTGATTGCCTCGGTTTCGGCCCACCACTGGTCATGAATGCCAGACGTCTCGTCAGCCTGACATACCTCATTCGGTCCGCCTCAGGGCAGGACTAGTCAGACCATCTGTCTTGACAGCCCCTTTGACCTGCCTCTTGGTCAGGACCAATCATACCCACTACTCGAGTATGGCAGCCCTTTGACCCTCTCGCCAGGACACCCAGACTATAGCGGGTCTGGTCACCCTATGAGAGTAGACGTCCCGTCAGTCTGACTGTCCCGAATCCGGATTTGACCACTGCGGTCAGGGACCGGCTCACCTACCACTTTTTGGCCAAGGGCGCTGGCTACGCCGCCCACATTTTTGAACGTGGGACCCGGTCTAACCACAGTTTCAGGCTCTGGCTAACCTCACTGGATTGCATCCTCTGACTGCGGTAGGGTTCCAGCCGACCCCTCTCAGCCTCATAGGCCAGACTCCCGGAGTCTTAGCCTCAGCCGACTACGAAATTCGACACTCGCGTCGGGGACCTGCTGACCCCACCATATTGCAACCTGTTGCGGTAAGGCTCTGACTAGCCTCGACAATCAACGTATCCTTAGGTTAGAGAAGAAAACCCCAGGCACATAAAGTCAGGCAAGCATATTATAACCCACAAGCAGACTGCCCACGCCCCATAACAGAACAAACATCTCTCAAGAGATGTCTCGTCAGTCTCAAGAGGCACTGAACAATAACATGCTAGCCAACACTAAGAGTTTGCAAGAGACCTCCCTTCAGTCACAAGCAAAACTTAGCGCTAGCCCCAGAGAGGTCCCTTCCCTCAACTGGGATTTCTTTTTCCAAGAGACGTCCCGTCGGTCTCAAGGAGATACTGAAACTCTGATCTCAGAGAAGTCTCTTCCCTCATCTGAGTGAAGACAGACCTTTAGCCAAGAAGCACGAAGTCCCTCTATTGACCACCCTCAGTCAAGTACAGTTGAACTTCTTTATGCCTGCCTTCGTCTGAATCTCTTGGATGGACAACTTAGCCAGAGACACGAAGTCTTTCCGCTGATAACTTTCATTCTGACAGAACCGAACTTCTTTATGCCCATCATACTTTTTTTTTGTGATAAAAATAATACTGCTCATATCATTTGATGTGCCACAACCATGAGTTTCTCAGATCTTGACATTGTGCCAATGCTCCCAGAACTGTACTCACAGTTACTCCTCACTCTCAGGATTTGACACTCATGGAACGACTGCAGCGCTACATCAAAGATATAGTCTTATTAACTTAGTTGCTTGCTGAAACAGATAATAAAATGACTTGCTGAAAACTGGCATATTGAAACTGAGATGCTGACACTAAAGTACTGAAACTGAAACACTGAAATTGAAATGCTGAATTGACTATGCAAGAATGATCATTGTCTGCTCATAACTGAGCCTCACTGTCTCAGTGTCTTACTGTATTCTTTCTCAGTCCTCTATGACCGTTCTCTTACTTGGATGGTTGATTTCTCTGTCCTCTCCTTGGAGTCACTGTAGGGATCAAGTCAGGGTCTCTGAAGATGAACTTACGAAGTCTTGACCCTGATACCATGTCATGAACCCTGGATCCATCAATTTCGGAGATCTCATAAACCTTGCCTTCTACCTCTCCTGTGATTCCGTAAGGACCAAGCCATCTAGGCTCCAACATTTTAGTT